CTATGTAAATCAAACCTATGTGGTTATATACAGTAATAAAATTTATTAATGATTTTTCAAACGGTTCAATAGTTTTGAATATAATTTTGCACAGACCGTTATTACTTCTTTGCAAACAAAGTTATAGAGCAATTTCTTTAAAAAAAAATTAAATTAAGCTTTTTTTTTTAAGAAAAATAAATATATATATAATTATTGCAAATTTTTACAGCTCTAACGGCTTGATAGTTTCAGATAAAATTTGGCACAAACAGGCATTACGTCTCTACAAAGAAAGTTATAGAGCTATTTTTCATTTAATTATGAAAAAATTTTAACTTCTATATTTTTTTTTTATCTACATATCTAAAAATCATTAATAAATTTTATTATATAACCACAGTTTTGATTTACATAGTACACCGTACACCCCACTGTTACATGATTTGGGCATGCTAATCACAATCCAACTAGTAGGTTTAATTTAAAACTAGCTTGTACAAACCTTAACTTTAACCTATTACCTGGATTAGGGATAGAAATCGATTTAGTCGACTAAAAAATTTAGATGTAAGCTGATTTAGTCGACTAAATCATATAGCCGATTCCTATCCCTAATCTGGATCTGTCACATTTTCGTGTTTTATGCTTGAATGCAAAAAAATTATTTTTGACACATACATGATATCTCTTAATCCAAATAAATATCCTGAGGATAACCCTTTTTCAGTTAAACAAAATAATACTACTTACAAGTATCACATTATTAGTGAAGGAATTTATCCACCAAAAAATAGACTATGTTATACTTCAGCACGTTCTCACAATAATACTCGATATAAAATTCCAGATGACTATTTGATTCAAACCAGTTGGGGAAAAGGAAAATCCAAGCATATAATAGAATGTGAAATTAAATATGAGTTAAATGAACCAATTTTTATAGTTAGATTTCAAGAAGATTCGCAACAATATATTTTGGAATCTAAGAAATCCCCAAGTGATACAGCTAATAAATATTTATGGGTCTGTTCAATTTTAATAAAAAATTTTTTTTTTTTTTTTACAATATGCGTGGCAATCAATAAAAATTTTTATTATAAACATCTATTCTGATTTTTTTTTATTTCTGTATAGAAAAAAAATCCAAATAATCCACGTGCAAGAATCTCTGATGTATATGTGTTTTGTCTTAATATTTTGGATATAGAAAAAGAATGTGAAAGAAAACATCGATCTTCTTCTTTTAGACCATTTAATATATTAAGTGAATCCATGAAAACAAAACGTTCTCATACATTCTCTGTACAATTAGATAAAGCCTTTAAAAATGAGGTTCCTAATTTTTTTAATTCTGTCGATCGACCAGTTTTGCAAGAAATTCGATTCTGTGTTCAAGATAAGGATTACTTGGCCAATTATAATAAAGAAAAA